GCACTGGGGGAACATAACCGATGTTGACACAGGAACACACTAGGTTACAACAGATTTAAAGCTTGATTAATGAGCAGTTAATGCCTGTTTAATGCGTGGTAAGTGTACACTGTAGAAAATAAATTAAAGCCGCTGCTGTTATTATTTTACTGAAATGTAAGTGAAACGTTTGCAAAAAGAAGACCAAGAGACCCTCCTACTGATTAACAAAGGAAACCTATAGACCGTGAAACCCATAAGGAGAACTCCTATTGCCAAATGGGTGGGTGAATGCAGTAACCGGTCAGTGAACGCTTACTTCAAACGTTGTTAAAGCTCCCTATAAAAACCTGCAAGACGACCAGCGCAGTGAGTTAGGGCGTTGGACTTCTAATCAACCCATCACGAGCTCGAATTTCGGGTGGTGCACTGCCAAAGGTTGGAAATAACTAGCTGATGATGGCTAATACGTCAGAAATTACCATGCAAGCCTCCCTTGTCTTCGTCGGCCTTCTTCATATTATATCGGTTGCTGTGTGACTGCACCGTAGGGAATTCCAGATCTGTGAGCGCCGTACTTCCATCATCTTCTTGATCGCCACCGGAAAAGCAACGAGTCCGTGGTACAGTGATAGAATGTTGTACTCTAGGCCCAAAGTCCCGGGTTCGAATCTCGGATGATTCACCTCTATATCACTGGCCGTTGTGTGGCTGCTAACGCGTCTCTGGAATGAACTTCGTGGCAGAACAGGAGAAGTGACTTCCTTACGCGACCGCTGAACGTTCATAAACCAAAATCGTCCTGGCCCCCCTAACACCCTAACCGAAATCTTTGTGACAAATGACGCAACACACATCGAAGCCACTGGATCTAAAAAATTGGCGAAAACTTTTGAGATAATTTACTCTCTCCCGCTCTCTCTAACGAGCTATGCTACCTTTTCCTACCCACAGAATGCGAATCTTATTCTTGGAAGCGACGCGTTCGGACTTGCCTATCTAAGCAAACTGGAAGGCTCCATCCATCCAGCTAACAGTCTGCCCTCCAACTCCCCGCCTCCTCCCAATGGACGTCTGAGGTAGCTCCCGGTTTTTTACACATCCATGTTGAGTAGAAACTGTGCCCAATGCTTACATCATTGTGTGTATTTTCTCTCCAACCCCAGTTTCGGAGCACTCTTGATTGGCGAAAATTCGGAGATGCTGGTTGAATCTGCCGGTCAGGGTGATGTGATTGGTTGCCACCTGGACCTTGACCGTTCGATCGCCTACTGGACTCGCAACGGACGACCCCTGCGCTATGGGGCTGTCAACACACAGGCAGCATCGGCAGCAGCTCTCCTCTCCTTCGCTCATCTGCCCCAGGGTTTCACTCTCTACCCCGCCTGTTCTATCAGGGTATGCTTAGTAGTTTTGCGCTTTTTGCATATTGTTAGAGGAATGAGAATTTAAAAATGTCTACTGCCATAAAATAAGTAGCTGCTTATAATAATTTTATCTAGACTGGTTTGCCGACACAGGCAACATCAGCA